AAAGACTTCAAATAACAAGAAAATATCCTTTAAGGCCTTCAAAATTCTAGTACATCGAGGCACCGACAAGAGTTTCTTTAATCAATATTTATTAATTATGCAGTTATCTCCCTTTCATCAACCAGTCACCATGGAGACTAAATTTCATTTTTGTTGGCTGCAAGACTGTTTTTTTTTCATTTGTATGGTTACTGATTGTGCTCTGCTCTGACTAAGGGTGCTTCCTTTGTCATTTAATTCATCATTTATCACGTGAATTTAGTTCCAGAGAGCATCAGACTAGATTATACTGAGGCCATTTGTGGACATTAAAAAGAACTTAATATGATTAAATTATACCAAGATAAAAAAAAAATTTCCCTTTAATTGTATTTCATGGTATACACACACTATAATAATTAATTTTACACATTTATATATCTTATATCTGTGTAGTTGAAAAATGTTGAATTTGGAGAAAGAAAAAAATAATAATCTGTGCTCATGCACACATGCAAACAGCTTAGAAATGTGTTGCAAGGAGGGTTCAACATCACATTTCAACAGCCTAAACATTTTGAAATTTAAGAAAGCTTCCGTGTATGTTTTTTGATTTAGAGATGAGTATGTGGGTATTTATAGCAGAGATTGAGAGTGGGCAGCACAAATATCCTAAACTGTATCATCACCCACATACACACTCTACACCTGGTTTTTCCGTTTAGAAAACTTACAACAGATGTATCAACTGAGATTTCTATTTCCATGAGGATTTGAAGAAATGGTTCCATTTTCAAAAGTGGTAACTGGAACTATTGATAGCATTTAATCATATTCAGAATATATCTATATGGAAAATGGAGTTTCAAGTTGAAGTAATTATACTACTAGATACTCCTGAAGTTTTAACCAAAAGTATACATATTCCTTAACAATACTTCAAATTTCAACATTTCTGTAGTAATGTACAGAACTGACTTTCTACATATACATTGTATTTTGAAAATGAAATCACTGATAACATCTCTACATGTATAATAATTGGGCCACATGTATTGTTTCCAAAACAAGGAAAAATCTCAACTGATATTGAATATCCATTAAATTTTGGAATTGTTTAGTTATACATGTGTCCACATGTATTAGAAGTAAAGATGACAAATACTTTGTCTAAAAGTCATAAAATTCTCATCTGAAATTGTATATTTAAGACCTGAACTGGTGGTCATGGTTTACACTGTTATGATATCGGACTTAATCAAACAAAAATTGCTCTTATTTATATATCTTATTTTATTTCTCATATAATTATCTGGCAAAAAAACAAAACAAAAAAGAATTAACTTTTCACTGAAAAATTTGTTCTGTTATGTTTTTCCTTTCAAAATTAATGTACATTAAATTTTCTTAGTTCAGTTACCTGCCTATGTTAGATCAAGAACTACTCGCCTTTTGTGAAATACTCAATTAAACTTGAAATTCCTATGACCTAGCCACACCTAAACTTAATGATAGAGTACATCGTAGTTTTCTTTAAAATTAATTTAAAGAAAGATCTTCTGTATACTTTGATCTAAAAAGAATTTTTGGGCAAACAAATCTTGAATCCAATTTATAAATGTGTTTTCAAGTAAATATAGATTTTAGGTTTTAAATTGCAGGTGTTCAGTAATAATATAAGTTAATAACCAAGAGGCCAATATTTACATTCCCTCTTCTTAACTGTAACCACCTGACTGTGTTGGCTTAGTATAAAGGTAAACATTGAACACGGAGGCCAAGAATTCAGAATCATTTTTTGAGGAAAGTTCTCTATGTATGTATTTAAATTACTTTTTGATATTGTGAATTCTACATCATGAAAACACTTAAAACATTAATTACACAAAATATAAAAAGTGGGGATGACAATTTGAGGAAATTGTATTAAGAAATAAGCTGTTTTAGTGTGAATTTGCCTACATGTGACATTCTGTTAATGTTTAAGAATTTTTTTGAACAATTAAGATTGAATGTAATTCTATTGATGGGTACACTCATGCAGTCTGAGAATTACGTTCAAATCCTCCATATAATAAATAAAGAGCCACCTGTGTATTTGATAGTGCCACATGTGGTGTTAAGAAAAATCTTCATGCATTTCCCCTCTTTCCTGATATGATTGAAATTTGATGTGTATTGTTGACAATAGTTCTAGTGTGTAATACCCTTGATGTGTCTTGTTGCTATGGCAACATTTCTAGTGGTGTACTACCCTTATTCTTATTTTTATAGCATGACATTACTAGACTTGGCCTAGATTTACATGTTGTGTGGTATCCATGAAGCAGAAGACACTTATCCTTATGGAACACATAGTTTTGTTGGTGATCTCATTACACTATTTTATGGGTTTCTATATAACTCTGCTTTTTTTTTATTTACCTTTTATTTTGGCTCACATTTTATCAATTCTGAGTTAGATTCACAAATTTGAATTTATCTCATTACTTGAAGTAAATGTGACAACTGAAATAATTCTAATTACTAGTAATATTATTGTTTCTTGATGCAGATTAAACATGCAGCTTCTTGCATTGTGGAAAACAAAATCACTCTCTGGTGCCATTATATGGCTTACAAATCAAAAATTTTACCTCTACAGTCAATACATTAAACAATTTGGATCTTCCATTAAAGACAAAGACTCATTTTTAATTTCTTACAATTTTTTCTTTAAACAAGTCCTGGAAAATATTAATGAACACTGTTGATGTAAAGAATTGTGAGTATTATAGATTAAGGCTTGTGGTCACTGTTTTATAAACAGCAAAGCCAAGACCAGGTATATGAACATTGGAGGAATTTGTTTCCAAATTAAACTCTTTTTCACGTAGCTGTTTTTTCCTAATATTCCTTTCAGGAAAATAAGTTTTTTAGAAGCTAGCATTTTCCTTATTTCTAAATATGTTTAGTCAGCTTAAGATTATGTGGAGTGATGAATTTAAATATTTGATGAAATAAAAGATCAAGCACATTTTAAAGATGCAGAAAATTATAGATTCCTGAAGAATTAATTTTTCTTACAATTTGACACTTAATTAAAAGATTTTATAGCATCTAGCCAGAAGGCAAATTGTTGGAAATTTGTTTTTTTAAGTCAGTCTTAACTCTAATGTTTCCAGGAACACATATCAAAGAACACATCTGAATCACTAGTGACAAATTTTGAATATATACTCCATACCCTTCTGAATAAATTAACACAACTGATTGAGATACACAGAGTTATTTTATTGTTGTTTGATGGCATATTATAAAGAGGAGTAGATTTTTAATGTGATCTTATACATCTAGTCATATGTATTGACCTCATTAGAATATCATTTGCATATCGTAGTTGATCTTTGATGAATCAGTCAAGCCTAGGAGCCAGTTGATAAAAGGTGGCAATAACACAATACACAGAAAATAAATGTCCCTTGAAAATTTCACGTCAAATTTTATATGATGAATATATAATGAATGGAAAACTCACATTTGTATCTTGTGTGTAAGGTTTATTCCATGTGCAGGTTTGCAAATATCCTTCTATACAGCATATACTAGGAATAGGGAACACGTTATCAAACAGAGCATGAATATAGGAATTACCAAGAAAAACGAGATTGTTAAAACTGGCAAATTAATTCAATATATATAGTTCTTTACTAGTTAGTAGAGTTGCAAGATTTCATGCAATGAATCTAGTAATTTACCAGTTATAGTACAGAATCCTGATAATTAACACTGTTATCAAGCTAATGTGACTGTACTGGAAGTTCATGTCCAATTTAAAGTTTCAATTTTGCAGATATTAGCCCTTTGTTTTTGGGTGCAGGAAGAGGTAAAAGTTTGAAAAGTAATCTGGACCAAATCTTAAGATAATGAAACAACAAAAACAGGCATATACATCGGTATAATTCAACCCTTTGGGTTATCAAAGGTCAAAATTTTCCCACTCTCATTTATAATACAATGTGTAAAGATGTGATTATTATTCAAGCTATATACTGTAAAATCACATTTTCAAGGGGCTCAAATTTCGTGGTTTTCCAAATACAAATATGTCCATTTTCATTAGCACTTGATCTTGCATATGAAATCCATACCCAAATCCAAAAGAATATATAAAATTCCACAGCAAAAATTAATGATTTTGTAGTAGATTTTTTTTTCATATCAAACATTATAAATCACCTTTTTTTAATCAATTAAATCTGTTTTCTGAATAGAGTAGATGATTTTGTCAGTATAGAAAGGGTAATCTAACACTAGATAGATTGTATGTCAGCTTCTTCTCCAGCAGTGAAACTCTACCTGTCTTATTCCATTACAAAACAAATATAAATCAAAGATGGCTCGCAGACCTATGAGCTTAATTTAATAACAGAAAAGCTACACAGATTATTGTGAATCAGTTTTTTGTAGAACAGTTTCCATACATTATATTAACTTTAATTGCTACGGTAAGTGTTATTTATTCTTGATACTTAAAAAGAAAAAGATAAATAATTGTTTTCCTCATGATTAGCTGATAAATCTGGATTTTGTTAAAAAAAATGTTGATAGACGAAAGAAGATGGCTCTATGAACATGGAGATGTGGCCATTCTGATATCACCTGCCTAAACAATCATAAACATGCACATAACCAAAATTTTTTTATCAATTAACTTAAATTTAAGAGAGTGAATATGGATACCAAGAGATTTCAAGAAAAAGCTTTCTAAGAAACAATGACCAACACGACACTCACAGGCATTAAACAAAATGCTTAGGTATCAGCGACTCAGAAGCAAACCCAAGCCTGAACTTCAATAGTTTCTGCATTCAAAACCATTCACTAACAAAAGTTCGGAGTATACCCCGTACAAGATGGTAGTAAGATATAACGTATGTATTTTTTCACAGAGTGGCTGTATACACACAGAAAATCTACCTGTGCTGTATATACAACAGTATATATACTGTTATACACTTAAGCCTTGTACCAAGCTCTATACCAGCGTGAAAGGAGAAATCGTGGACAGCATAGGAAACAGACAACAAGGATGTGCTGGATAGATGGTGACCTATCTATATTAATGATTTCAACAGGTAAGATGTACATGTATCAATAAATATGTTGATGTGCTATGTGTATATATAATATCAAACAATACTCCAGCTTTCCAGGAAAATATTTCTATTAAGCTTAAATATATATTTGTAGTGTATTATCATATAGGATGTAGAAGTATCATAAGTGAATTAATCATAGAAGTCAGTTGAATGTTTGTAATCAGATGAGAGAATTTGCTGGGTTAATCTTCCTGTGAACAGCTACAGTCATTTTGAGGTTGGGTCTCCTTGTAGTAGCTGGTGGCTTGTTCACTGAACAATATAGGAGAGGCCAGGTCACATCCTGTCCAGAGCAGTAAGGGTAAAATGTCCTGTTAAAGGACACAATCAGGACAATATAGGTTGCTGGAGTTTCTCAGCTTCCTGAGAAACAAAACCTTCCATTGGAACAGAGCTATCACAGCCCCAATATAGAGAAAAACTTCGTAATATAGAGAACCAACTGAAAGTAATTTTTTGGCACATTTGCAATAATAACGTCGGTCAACAATATGGTACACACTGGTCTGCTTTCAATCATCTGTCAAGCCCAAATTATGGTATTAGATTCTGTATATAATATGATTGGTTCAAAGCAAAACAGGATATGCTTTTTTTTTTTTCTTTTAGGTTTAAAATGATATCATTCATAAAGAGAGAGGTATGTGCTACAGTAGATTGGTCAATGCATAGGATTAAGCAAATGCTACTTTTATCATGTGTTCATAATCAGTCCCCACAGTAGATGCACTATTACATACAATTAAAACTGTGCTGTGGTGGATACATCACACATGTAAATGAACTCTGTTATGCCCAATTTAAAGTTATTTACCTACTATTTTCCTATGTGTTATTAATCATCTCACATAAAAGCAAAGTTATGATCCAAATTTGACAAACAGCAGAGTTTTGAAAATCCCTCCGTCCCCTTTTCAAATCAATATTCCGAGTGATATTTGTCCATGTACTACATATTGATTTTTGCATTTCATCAAAGACAACCACAACATGTTATTGAAACATGATTTGTTCATATCTGTTGTCAAAAATGTAAAATTTGTTTCAATTTTAAATGTGTTATTATTTCATACAATTCAAATCTGTTCTTTATTGTGACTGTATTTACAGAAAACACACTACTGAAGAAATTCTGCATACTTTCAAAAGTTAATATTTTTTTCCTTTTATTGAGCAAAATGAAATATCATATCTTGTGCTCTGTAGCTCTGTTGTGTATTGTCCACAAAACATACAAGGAGAGTGGTGTTACCTCCCTTCCCCTGAAGACCATCAATTAGCTTCACATTTTCAAGTAATCTCCCTTTGAACCATGTTACCGCTACACTGTGAAATACAGTAAAGAACAAAAAACATACATATTTAATTATTTCATAAGACAATGAAGAATAGTAAAATGAGAGCTGAAAAGTTAAAAAAAGCAATTAAGAAGACATTAGCCAAATTTTGAATAGTTTGTTGGTTCAAAGTGCCTGACTGAAAAAGTTGAACATCCAATTAATATAATGCTTAGAGGGAAAGAAATAACAGAACACTTGAATATAGAATAAATACAAAAGATTGGGAACAAAAATGTATATTTATGATTTAACAAGCATTACACCAAATCAGAATTTAAACCATGCAATCTACGGGCCAATAACAGACATTTCAACAGATAAACCATCAGATTTGGCCAATAAAATATTTAAATAAGTCAAAACATTTAGGTACTTTTCTTTACAGTAAATACCAACATTAAGATATCACTATTAGTCTTTGTCACAACTGCTGAAATTATCTGTAAAGAAAACTTAGAAAATAAAACAAACAAAACCAAAAACCATATGTATTCTTCTGTCCATATCCTTCAGGGTGACTAAAATATGTCATTGACTATTCTTAAAAGAAGCTGAAAATACTGAATATTTATGTTTTAGCAAAAAGCACTTGCCAGAAAATCAACTCAATGGAGAAAACTAAGCATATCATAAAATGCAAGAAATAACGTACAAGGTTATTTCCCTTTGATCACCACTCTCAGACCAGTAGTGTTCTGTTGTTTACATCAGTACATTCCATGTACTACAAATGTACATATATGTAGGTTTTCTCTACTTCTTATTCTAAGTTAATCTTCTTAGCCTTTAAATGACACAGGAAAATAAAACTTCCCAAACCAAGTGACATTGTTGACTAGTGTAAAGAAGGCTATTCCTATTCCTCGACCCTTCATAGGACCAGAAAATCCACAACACATATATAATGCTGTGTGATTACCATGGTACAATATACAAAAAAATCTGTATACACACAGTAGTGATGCTGTACTGTAAGAGGGTTTCCATTGTAATGCTAAAGAAATTTCTGACATTGATAATATACAGTGGTTACACAGAAGAAGGAAACGGGATACTTATAAGTGTTGCTTTGATGATTAAACAGAAGAGGGGATCAAAAACTCAATGTCAGCTTCCTCTGATTTAGCTACATTGTATAAGTGTTCTTTCCTCTTAAAACTTTTCTTGTCACAGCTTTTAATATATTTGCAGTTCACATGATTTACTCCAATTCTTTTATATAACATAATACCACTTTTGGGAAAAAACTTTCATATGTTTACATGTTTCCATTAGCTTGGCTCTCATCAGTTTTTGGTAAATTTCTCGCTCTATTGAATAAAAATCTAAGAAAGATCATTGTAGGCATTTTCAATCAAATTAATTGTTTTTTGTAATGGTTGTCATTTTCCATGGATTCTATTTTATGCTTATCTCAAGGATGAAATAAAGTTATAAAAAATAGAAGCCATACCTTTAAAATAGAATTGTTGTCAAAATTTATAGGTCATTTCTTTCCTTATGTCAAAAATTCATCCTTTTTCGTTAAGACATTTACGATAACTGTAAAATTTGCACCATAAATAAAATGTTTCAGTACATTGGTTAATTACAACAAAATATGTCAATACAACAGGACTGTCACAGTTATTGACCGCTAACTCTCATCAATCCTTATCTCTACCATCCATCATCTAAATAAGGTTTCCTAATTTATATTCCTAATCGTCTCAGGTATTTCCTATTCCAGTTTCCAACGGAACTTTATATCTTTCTACAAGTATTTACTTAACATAATGAATGAGAAATATAGATTATATTACTAATGCGACAAATTAATTCATCATTCAGCACAAAATATCATAGGAAATTGTAATGGCTACACGATACAGATTTGATTCTGTTATCCCGATCCAGTTATGAATATACCTGCGAGTCCTTAAATTTTATATTGTGGGATGAATTGTTTTTAGCAATAAAGTTGAAGAGAACTCACAAAAATAAATTTTTGGTTGATAACAATCTGATCTACCTTAGGATGTATTTAAAATCAACTCCAGTAATTTGACTTTTTATACAATGTATCATTATAATTCACCAAAATATTTGGCAAAATAAACAAAAACATTTCTGCAAATGTTTCATTCTGGGTTGATGACCTTACATCATTAACTATGCACTATATCTTTGTGGCAGAACTAATGAGCCTTGCTGAAGTTAAGATGAAACTAGTTGTGCAATCTAACATTAATTGGTCATAAGTTAGATGGGTAAGAGTGGAGAGATGGGGAGCCCATAAATGCTTGAGAAAGCTTCCTTGTAACTAGAAAATGTTTGCAAGACTCAGTTTTATGTATGTAAGATATGACAATGATTTGACAGGAAATATTGTATGACAAGACAAGGACCAAGCCTAACAAACATAGTCAACTATACATTAGTAAGCCCCCTACCAAAAACAAGCAAGGTCATAAAAAAAGATTTAAGGAAATCTGTAAGTATGGTTTCCTGGTAGATCTTGTTTCATAGCTATACAGTCAAATTTACACTTTATCAATCTGTTCATCTCAGGATCTTGCCATTCAATGTCATCGTTTCCCAAGAATGCTTTCAGCCAAATCTGTTTAAAATCCAATGGTTACTGAAGAAAGTGACTTGAACTTAACATTGACAAGAAATGGACAGATGAACACTGCAGTATGATGTTTGCTTGGCTACCTCAAGGCATATCTCAAATTAATAGAATGTTGTGATATCCTAATAAATATAAGCTAACTAGGCTTACAAAAACGGAAAAAGGAAAATGATGCGTGCAGCAAAATCAATACCTCTTCATTAACTGCAAAATTACTGGCCAGCTAAACATACCCATTGACAAGGGGCACAAAATCACAAGGGGAGATTAAAACTTGTTCTTTATATTTGTGGATATATGTGTGTACTTCAGATTTTATTTTGAAAAATGATGAAGATTTCATATCAGTTCACATTTATTTATTGATGAATTGGCTTTAAATGTCTATTTTTTTGCGTTTTAAAAGATCAGTATAACCATTAAGGGCCCCATAAATGTACACTCTTCTACTGCACTTTGCAGTACATCTACATGTAGTATCAGATGAAGGATCAATCAGGGGCTCCCACAGGGCTCTCACGATAGATGCATAATTTGATAAAAAACTCAGGGTTTTTTTATTCCTGAGAAATTTAGTATTTGGTACAAATTTTTAATGTACTTTTTAAAGTCTATATTTGAAACAGTACTTGCCATTTCAGTTTCTTCCAATATAGCAAATTATGACCCAGACTGAGAGAGTGACATCCAGGTTTGATATAGGTGCAGATTATATCAGCACATGAACTTTGTTGTTGAACTTAACATCTCTTGCGCCTTGTGCAACAGGAAGAATTCACCTCTTGAAATTCATTCCTTTGAAAATAGTTCTGATTCATATGAATAGAAAAACTTTCTGAAATGCCCCAACCTAAATTTGAAGTTCAGCTCATATTCCTTCGCTGAACACCTTCAATCATCCTGTTCAAACCTATATGTAAATTAGTACCAGGTAATGTTGTCTACCTAATCAACCAATGCTGAAGGTTTTGAGTTGTCACCAGATCCCCAAATACACTAAAATCTCTAAAACTAAATATACC